ACCGCTTCCGCTCCTTCCGGAAAGCAGCGGAAGTAAGCAGCGCTGTTTTATCATACATACATCAAGTGAAAGTTCTGTTATTATGCTACTGTGCAGTCGTCACCGGTCTAATAAAATGCACAACATTTTAAAGCGTCTTTGGTGGTTCCATGTTTTCTACAAAACAAAACCAGAAATTGACGGCTTATGAAGTCATTGGCAGGCGACACAATGACACTATAGACACGGTCCGTGTCACTAGTTAAAATTGCTTATTTCTCTGGATTTAAACATTCTTCGAAACATTTGGGATAATGCAAGTACACAAGTCAGCAAAATAAATAAAACTGTTCTAGTGGTTTTTGGATATTTTAATAAAAAAATCATACATATTGTGCCTATAAATTGTTTTAGTTTTTAGTTATTTTTACTTCTGCCATTTACATTTAGGCTTCAAAATTCATAAAAGTTGTTCATTTGTGAAGATTATCTTGATGAGCAAAAGGTTTTGTTTGTCACAAAGCTTATTTTCTGCAGTTATTCAGAACCCAGTGGAAACATCCTATTGGCTTTTGGTCAAAGGAACCAGGGTGATGCCAACTTCTGGGTTGGACAACAAAAATGTCATTTCTGCCACACTCTAAACAATCTCTACCTGGGCACAAGCCTGCTGCTCCAAGTATTCTTTGGCCGTGGTTCCTGTAAATGAGAAATCACAAATTTCACTATAACTGCTCAATTAATGAGTTTATTTTTGGTTCAGTTTCTGATGTGACTGAGACTAATTTCTCTTCCACGCTGTACTCACCATTCCAGTGTCCAGGTAAAGTAGCTTCAGTCTTGTCTTCCGTGGCTGCTGCCAAATACTCATGGAGCTTCCCGATCAGCTCTCCTAGCTTACTGCCTCCACCGGCCACCGGCCCAGGTCTGCAAAGACAAGACAGCTGATCTCTATGGCAACATCCTCATGCTGTATTAAAACACTGAAAACCCTTTATAAACCTGCAAAACCAAACTATATCCAAGCACAGATGGTTCCTTTAGAAAGAAGCATACTCAGGCTCCAGTCTGATAGGAATGAGACTTATATTCATCATGAATTAAACAGGGTTCATAATTTTTTCCCTCAGTTCAGCATCGACTCTTTGTTCAGCTGGTGCTGATAAAGTCACAAGCTGTTAAGGCAATAACGTTACACAAATCCTAACATTACTTCAGATACAAATGATTAAGCATGGATTTAATTCAAACAGCGACTGGATTTAAAACATTTATTGTCGAGAAATATTAACAAACACCACAGCGTGTACGTTAGCAACGTTACAAAAGAAAAGAGAGAACACGGGGCGCCTCACCTGAGAACTTCGGCAGACATCGCCTCCTCGCCCGCGGCGCTTCAACACACCGCCGAGCTTTTAGCACAATTAACAGCAGCGACGGCTTTCGGATATCGGCATAAAACTCAAATTTGGCAAACCGCAAAAAATCAACCAGTTTCACCCGCCATCTTCCCAGTGGAACTTGCGCCAGACAGCTTAAAATGGCGCACCGGAAACTGCGTCCTGTTCGTGACTGACGTAAGGTGATGGCGTCATTACTTCATCGGATTCCGTCATAATAGCAGAGACGACTGTTGCTGGGCAACAACATGTCAGCTTTATTTGAGCACGGAGATGCAAACAGGGTTTTTACATTCAGATCACAGTAATTATAAAGAATATACATTTTGTTATTTTTCTGTATATATTATTGTGCGAAAAGCGAATATTTATGAACCCAACATGTTACAAGGACAGTTTATCAATACATATTTTGACTTGTCAACAGCATTTGTCTTGGGGAAGGACGCCATATTTAATTTTTTAACAAAACAAAAACAAAGAGAACAAGGCTCTGGGGTGGATGTGCAATACAGTTTGTTATGAATAAAAAGTTTCCACAAATAGGCGAACTAACAGAAGTTTGAAACATTTTAAATAAAACATGCATCCAATAAATATACCATTAAACGTTTTGCTCAATGCGTTATAATAATAAAGTTCTTCATGTCATGTTTTAATTTAATACCCTACATATAATAGTTTGGAGAATGGATGGATGGATGAATTTGGATTTTATTTCAGCATCATTTCAATTAGTAAAAATAACATATTGAACAGTTTTGGTTAACAATAACAACACTGATGGTATATATGTGGAAGGACTACACTACAGCATCCCTCATAGCCTCATTTTCATTTAAAGGGATAGTTCCCCCAAAAATGAAAATTCTGTCATTAATTACTCACCCTCATGTTGTTCCAAACCCATAAGACCTTCGTTCATCTTCAGAACACAAATGAAGATATTTTTGATGGAATCTGAGAGCTCTCTGCCCCTCCCATAGAAAGCAACACAACTGAAATGTTCCCAGGTCCAGAAACGTAGCAAGGACATCGGTAAAACAGACCATGTGACATCAGTGGCTCAACTTCAGTTTTGCGAAGCTACGGGAATACTTTTTGTGCGCAAAGAAAACAAAAATAACAATTTATTCAACAACTCTTCTCCCCCGAGTTACGTCTTCTGCCATTTTAGAGAGTATCACAATGTATATGCACGCTTTCCCCTAAGCGTAAACAACGCTGATTACGCAGTTTACGTTCATGCACGCGCTTTCTCCTCCGAACGAAAACAACGCTGATTACGTCGATTACGCTCTTGGGTACTCTCCAAAATGGCGGAAGATGTAACTCGGGGGAGAAGAATTGTTAAATAAATTATGTTATTTTTCTTTTCTTTGCGCACAAAAAGTATTCCCGTAGCTTCGCAAAACTGAAGTTGAGCCACTGATGTCGCATGGACTGTTTTACCGATGTCCTTGCTACGTTTCTGGACCTGGGAACATTTCAGTTGCGTTGCTGTCTATGCAGGGTCTGAGAGCTCTCACATTTCATCAAAAATATCTTAATTTGTGTTCCGAAGATGAACGAAGGTCTTACGGGTTTGGAACAACATGAGGGTGAGTAATTAATGACAGAATTTTCATTTTTGGGGGAACTATCCCTTTAAATGAAAATGAGGCTATGAGGGATGCTGTAGTGTAGTCCTTCCACATATATACCATCAGTGTTGTTATTGTTAACCAAAACTGTTCAATATGTTATTTTTACTAATTGAAATGATGCTGAAATAAAATCCAAATTCATCCATCCATTCTCCAAACTATTATATGTAGGGTATTAAATTAAAACATGACATGAAGAACTTTATTATTATAACGCATTGAGCAAAACGTTTAATGGTATATTTATTGGATGCATGTTTTATTTAAAATGTTTCAAACTTCTGTTAGTTCGCCTATTTGTGGAAACTTTTTATTCATAACAAACTGTATTGCACATCCACCCCAGAGCCTTGTTCTCTTTGTTTTTGTTTTGTTAAAAAATTAAATATGGCGTCCTTCCCCAAGACAAATGCTGTTGACAAGTCAAAATATGTATTGATAAACTGTCCTTGTAACATGTTGGGTTCATAAATATTCGCTTTTCGCATGTGCACAATAATATATACAGAAAAATAACAAAATGTATATTCTTTATAATTACTGTGATCTGAATGTAAAAACCCTGTTTGCATCTCCGTGCTCAAATAAAGCTGACATGTTGTTGCCCAGCAACAGTCGTCTCTGCTATTATGACGGAATCCGATGAAGTAATGACGCCATCACCTTACGTCAGTCACGAACAGGACGCAGTTTCCGGTGCGCCATTTTAAGCTGTCTGGCGCAAGTTCCACTGGGAAGATGGCGGGTGAAACTGGTTGATTTTTTGCGGTTTTCCAAATTTGAGTTTTATGCCGATATCCAAAAGCCGTCGCTGCTGTTAATTGTGCTAAAAGCTCGGCGGTGTTTCATCTTCAGAACACAAATGAAGATATTTTTGATGGAATCTGAGAGCTCTCTGCCCCTCCCATAGAAAGCAACACAACTGAAATGTTCCCAGGTCCAGAAACGTAGCAAGGACATCGGTAAAACAGACCATGTGACATCAGTGGCTCAACTTCAGTTTTGCGAAGCTACGGGAATACTTTTTGTGCGCAAAGAAAACAAAAATAACAATTTATTCAACAACTCTTCTCCCCCGAGTTACGTCTTCTGCCATTTTAGAGAGTATCACAATGTATATGCACGCTTTCCCCTAAGCGTAAACAACGCTGATTACGCAGTTTACGTTCATGCACGCGCTTTCTCCTCCGAACGAAAACAACGCTGATTACGTCGATTACGCTCTTGGGTACTCTCCAAAATGGCGGAAGATGTAACTCGGGGGAGAAGAGTTGTTGAATAAATTGTTATTTTTGTTTTCTTTGCGCACAAAAAGTATTCCCGTAGCTTCGCAAAACTGCAGTTGAGCCACTGATGTCGCATGGACTGTTTTACCGATGTCCTTGCTACGTTTCTGGCCCTGGGAACATTTCAGTTGCGTTGCTGTCTATGCAGGGTCTGAGAGCTCTCACATTTCATCAAAAATATCTTAATTTGTGTTCCGAAGATGAACGAAGGTCTTACGGGTTTGGAACAACATGAGGGTGAGTAATTAATGACAGAATATTCATTTTGGGGTGAACTAACCCTTTAAGGAAAATTAAATATGGTGTCTTCCTTTAAAAAAACTAATTAAAGGCAATACTTGGAAAAACCAAGTCTAAAACCAGTCTAAAAGCTGGAGGCTGTTGGAATGTGTTTGAAGAAGCAAATGTCTGTAAATGTGAATTTGTGTGCAGAAATAAAATCCTGTGACATAGAGGCACACAATCTTCATGATGCGGATGCACACATCTATGCAATCGAGTTGGCTCGTGGCGAGTTACCATTACTCTCTGAGTCCATCTCTTGATCTGAAACAAGCCCAAGGCCTGTGTGACACAGCTGTCTCTCAAGCGCTGTGATTCTTTGCTTCAGTCTGCTTTGAGTGGCTGTGAACTCCCCGAGCAACCGTGCAAATCGTGCTTGCAGAACATCCAGTGAGCTCTCCAGACGTTCAACCTTCTCGTCAGTATCCATGACGAGCAACCCTCCCTGTGCGGTGCTTTCATCCAGAAGCCCTTGCTTCCTCAGAATCTCCCTTCCACGTGCCTCCAGAACCTTCTGTGCATCTGGGTATTCGGTTACGGCCTCCATAAGGTCGTCTTTTGAAAGGCAGAAGAGGTCAGAGTAGCCAATGCTGCGAATGTTAGCTGTCCGCCGGTTTCCCATTTTACTGCCCTGAATGTTAAGAATGCTAATCTCGCCGAAGCAACCCCCAGCCGTTAGCAATGCAAACTGTGTCACTCCATCATCAGCAACAACTGCTAATTTTCCCTCTTTAATGATGTACATCTCTTTTCCAATGTCTCCTTTTCGGCAGATGTAGTCGCCAGGACTGTACACTTGGGGGCGCAGCTTTAAAACCAGTTCTACTAACAGCCCGGCCTCACAATCTTGAAAGATGCGCACTTTCTTTAGAGTAGATAAATGAACATTGATAGCAATTTCTGCACGTAGCTTGTCGGGAAGATTCTTTAAGACTTCCTGTTCATCCACTGCTTTCTGATTCGTCCACAGGAAGTCGAACCATTTGATGACACGTGTCTCAAGATGGCGACTGACTTTGCGGAAGTGCATGTAATGTTTAATAGCATCAATCCGTGCCTGGAACTCTGCCCGTGTGGCGTTCATATTGGAAATCATGGAACCCACGTTACCCACAATGGTGGCAAAAATCAGGACTCCGACAAGAAAATCGAACACCACAAACACATATTCCTCGTCCCGTACGGGTGGTGGCATCTCACCGATGGTGGTGAGTGTCAGTGTGGACCAGTAGAAGCAGTATATGTAGCTCCGCCTCAGAGCTCCTTCCTCTGTGGATGAGATGTTGGGATAAACCCACTGATCTGACCCAAAACCTAGAGACTTCGAGATGGCATAGAAGATGCAGGCATTCCAGTGGATGATAACCAGAATGTAGAGAACCAAGTTCCAGATGCGGAAGATGTTTGGGTAGTTGGTTCTCGTCTCCGTCCGATTAAAGAACTCGAACATACGAGAGAAGCGCAAGAGGCGGTTGAAGCGTAGCTGTGGTGTGTTGATGCCCAAGATGATGTACGCCAGGTCTGTGGGGAGGATGGAGATAACGTCCAGTTTGAACTGAAAGGTATGAATGTAGCTGTCTCTGAGTTTCGCCAAGTCCTTCACCAGAAGTCCTTGCTCCAGGTAACCTGGGAGGGCATCAAATGCTTTATAAGAGGCAATGCCACAACACAAAGAATACAAAAATCTATCTGCACGTTGGTCATCTGAAAGTCCAAATGTTGTTTGAGTCAATATTTTCAATAAATTGTCTCTCCTGTCATTTGTATTGTACAATAATAAACAAAAATGTCCATAGGATGAATCTTAATTTCATGCCAAACATGAACTAGCCCAACAAAATGCAATTTGTTTTACATGACTTTGCTTGAATAGGAAAATGGACAACTTTGTAAATGCATACAAAATATTAGAAGTGTGATCTCATGGAACAAACACGGAGTCAAAT